ATCAACTGTTAGTCTTTAAAAGGACCAATAACTGTAATAAAAATCAATATATCAAAGTCAATATCCGTGATTTAAGACTCACCGAAACCTGAAATGTTATGAAAATAAATCTTATTATATTAATTAAAGACAATCAGTAAAATGAAAGTCGTTTTAATAGAGAAATTTAATAACATAACTCATCCAACTCTGAATACACTAAAAATCAGTAATCAAAATACTTGAGAAAATAAAATATTCTCTCATTTCAAAATGTAGAAATCATGTTAATCGATGAATTGTTTGTATTTAATTCTTACCTTTTGATCAAATCAATATGAACTTATCATCTTTTCGTTATATCCGAGCGAAAATTAAAACACGAGTAACTCCTGAGACATATTAATTGACTAATATTATTCTTATGGTGCAACTATTCAATAATTAGATTATGTATATTTATATTCCTCTTATTATAAGCTTTATTTTGACCTATAATTTATTATTGTACGATTTACGGTTCCTAAGTTATGTTCAGTTTATTGACTACTTCCTCTCACGTTCACAGCCACATTTGGCCAAATATTGTACAAATTTTATTTTCTATTTTATGGCACGTTGTGGTCTGTCTGGTTGATATATAAACCGAGTATGTTTGAAATAAATGATTCGATTCATATTGCAGAAGCTGGTATTGAATTCTGGACTCAAGCGGACGGGCTAGGAGGACATAGGACCAATAAGGACGCTAGACTGCTCATACCGGTTGAACGTCATTGGTTTGACATAGTGCTAAGATTGTATAAGTCGTATTTTGATGGGTGGATAAATCACGTGATAAAAAGCCGGACATAAAATTATAATACTTTCCAATTAAATAAAACGCTTCTTTATTTTAAGTGTGTAACTAAGACAAAAACAAAACTATTTTCAAACTAATTTAGTTGTAACTTACATTGTTTTTATTTTAGATAAGAAAAGGCTTTAAACGATTGTTTTGATCTGTTATTTGAGATGTTCATTTTATAGATTATCTTGATATAAAATAAATAAACTCGTGAGGTAGGATCGTGAATGCTCACTGCTGAGGAGTACCATACTAGGACGAAACGGTTGTTCAGTACTTCCTGGTTATCCATGGTGGTCTAGTTTCAATTGACTCATGAATTCAACTATTAAAAAATTCAACGTTTTGTTGACCAAAAAAATTAATTTAATGCAAATTAAATGACAGACTAGAAAAAAGGGGTTTATTTCCTCTCAGAATTGAATACTTAACACAAACGTCTAGGTTTTTATAATAAATAGACTAAGTACAAGTAAATGTACTGAAATTGGAACCATACGCTTAGGTGGGAATAATTATGGTATGGAAAGTAGGATATTAGTTCATGTCGACTGGATTAAGATAGAATTTAAGATTATATTTTGATATTTTAAGCTATCCGGGATTGTGAAGAAAGCGAGTAATTTTAAACTTACTTACGCCTGTTACCCCTCATGGAGGAGCATAGGCCGCTCACTAGAATTCTCCATCCAACTCTGTGCTGGGTAATCCTTTCCAGTTCTTCCCAGTTGCTATTCATCCTTTTCATGCCTGCTTCCAATTCTTGGTGCAGTGTGTTATTTGGTCTTCCTCTCTTTCGTTTCTCTTCGGGTTTTCAAGTAAGAGCTTGCCTCATGATGAGGTTTGGTGATTTCATCAATGTATTTCCTATATACCTTCAACGTCTTTTTCAAATTTTCTCTTCAGATGGAAACTGGTTTGTTCTCTTACACAGTAGGCAGTTGCTGATGAAATCTGGCCAACGGATATTGAGTATCTTGCGTAGACTACTTATAAATACTTGTACCTACCTGATGGTGGTTGCAATAGTTTTCCAAGTTTCAGCTCCATACAGTGAAACTGTTTTGACGTTCGTATTAAAGATACTGAATTTAATGTTGGCTTGCAGACAGTTGTTTCGAGCTCCATATGTTCTTCAGTTGTAGGAATGCAGCCCTCGCTTCGACAATCCTACTTTTAAACTTAGTCGTCCGATAAAGTTAAATATAATTTCTTTTGTTTCGATTCAATTCAAATAGTGTTAGAAAAGGAGAATTACTGTTCTCATAGTTCATCCGCCAAAGAAACGATCACCCAGTATGGATAGCATTTTTTGCAATCTGATTACGATCACGTTTCATTTATATTGTGATCAGCACTTCATATATAAGTATTTGTTATTGTTAATAAACGAAATACAAATTCGTTACTGTTTTAACTAAACAGAATTGCGAGGTGTAGAGATGGTGAATTCAAATCTGACATGTAGATTCATTTTTGTAGCAGAAGTGGATTAATGGATGATGTTAAGGTGATGGAGACGGTACCTGTAAATAGTTTATTTTCTATATCGATCTGCAGCATACAGTTGATAGTTGAAATAAAACGAAATGTTGTGTGAAGCTGTGCTTCGCTGTAATCTTTCTCACTTCAGTCAGTAAGATTTTAGTAACTTCATCTTCTTTGAATTATAGTGTTAAATGCAACCTGGAGGTGATTTTTGCCTGGCAGTATTATTAGGTATAGTACTGCTGTCAAAACAGAGTGTTAGACAACCACACAATACCTTTGTGAAAACACTCTAAGCACATAATCATCTAATCACAGAGTTAAGATTAAGTGATTCTTTTTCTAAACTTCCATCGACTGTTAATATAACTATATAATCACTCAACATCAATGAATATTTCACTATCAACATGGTTAAACTTCAGTAGTCATAACTCTCAAACAGAATTGCGGAAATACATCTCACAGTAAATAGTTAGTGAGCATGCATTTAATCAAAGTCAATACTTGTTATATGGGTCATAAGATTTTACGTAAATACTTGTATCGTAGCGCTTTCTTGTAAGTTATTTAGGATTATACACATTTTTCTCTTGAATAAAGTACGTTCTGTCCAAATATTTCCGGCGTCAAACTAAATTAACAAGGAGATTTTCTTTTTTTAGAAAGTAAGACAAGCATATAAGACTGATTACAAGCACATTTGGATAGTGGCTAGCAGTGAAATCCAGGACGCACGTTTCGTCCTATTTGCGACTCGCCAGCTGGACATTTCTACATCTCAGAGATGATGTTCACTCCGGGACTCGAACTGAGTACCATTAGCTTCAAACATCATCGCGTTATCCACTTAGCTACTAAGACCTAATATCCATCTGCTTGTGAAATAGGGTGAAGCTTAAATTCACTTGGGTTCGAGTCTTGAAGTGTTCATCAATTCTGAGATGCGGGTACACCCAGTTGGCGAGTTCGGAATAGGACGAAACGCGCGTCCCGGATTCCACTGCTAACCACCATCGACCTTTTCTTATAAAGCTTGTAACTAAAAGCAATATCTAAGCAGTCCACACGGGATACACATATCTCAATAAGAGTTTAATCAATTGCAATCCTTAACAACAGCAGAAAGAATCAAGTAAACAATACCAAGTGAATTGAAATTGATTCCATTAAACAATCTTTAGTATATATAAATCTATTGATTGTTCTTATCTTATTTATCTACTTTATATTCCATTAATTATAATTGAATAATTTCTTTTACTAAACTATGATGATCTTTAACATAAATGAATGATTTCTGAATTAATATTATTCCCATTATTATCACCGTCCAATTTATTTGATTATTATCCCTGTACTATGTAATCAGAGCAATGTAAATATTCTAAATAAATTTATAGAATGATTAGTATAATTTCAACAGTTGAGAACATGAATCAACTGAAGCTAGACCACCAGGGAAAACCTGGAAGCACTGGACGACCGTTTCGTTCTATTGTGGGGCTCCTCAGCAGTGCGCATCTATGGCCCCGCCCTGCGAAATTTGAACCCAGGACCTATCAGTCTCGCGCCAGGCTATTAACCAACTAGACCACTGAGCCGGCATCCAATGTATGATGAAAAATTATTGAGAGAATATAACTTATTTACCTTACTAATTGTCTTTTCTAATTAACAAAATAGAGATAGATACGAAAATGATTTTTTTTCTTTTTGGTTGAAAATTCAAATAATATCTAGAATAGGGAATTGTTCAATCCAAAAAATGTTTTTATCTAAATTACATAACAAGTATGATAAATTTAGATTTCAACGGTTATCATCATAAGTCAGTCAAAGCTAGACCGCCATAGAAAACCTGGATGCACTGGACAGCCGTTTTGTCCTATTGTGAAATGAAATTAATTGATGAATATATACCTAACTTAAGTGAATTCGTTAAAATTTTTCAACGTAATTTCTTCGATCAATCTGTATTTTTTCTACATTGAATGTTCACCAATTATCCATGATCAGAAAAATTTTCCAACTGAACTTATATTTGATAACAAACAACATCAAAAATTTATGTTTGCTGTTTCTCTTTATAAGTTTTCATGCCTTTTTTTGTTCTTATTCATTATGATTATCAATAAGTCATGTGCTCACTTTTGAAATTATATGAGTTATGTGATTCATCTTAATTGTTAATATTTCTTTAGAGGATATCAGTTTGTGATATCAGCAGTGTCTAAACTGAAAGGGTTTCCACAGACCAATTATATTCAAATAGTTTCTATTGAACATTTGGATAATTAACTGTTTACAAAAAATACTAAAAGTAATGAAAACAAAACTTCCAAAATAAAATTTGTAATTATATGAATATTATAATAACAATATGTATTTTGAAAAACCTTGAAGATTTCATGACATTTCCGAGGCACGATTATCTTTATATAACAAAACATTTATATACGTATGAAGCTCTAATTAAGGTGTTATTTTCTGTCACTTATTTTACATATTATGTCTAAACTAGGTATTAGAGTTCAGTCAGTTAACATAGCGTTTGTTTGCATCAATTGGCTGACGGATTTTTCAGGCAGCTCGTTTGAGCCTTCAAGATCACAATAGGGTGATAGCCGACTATCCTACAGGATTTGTGTTCAACTGTTACGAAATTTCTTACTCAGAGAAGCAAATGCAAATGTGTCAACTTTTGGAGAATTACTGTTATACTACTACTACTACTACTACTACTACTACTACTACTACTACTACTACTACTACCACTACTACTACTACTACTACTACTACTACTACTACTACTACTACTACTACTACTACTACTACTACCACTACTACTACTACTACTACTACTACTACTACTACTACTACTACTACTACTACTACTACTACTACTACTACTACTACTACTACTACTACTACGTAAATTTAACATTTTAGGAACGGTGTGTTTTTAAATCTGTACATTTAGTGTATCGTCAAAAAAGAGTAAGCAAAAAAATAAGACAATCAAATAAACCAGAGAAGAGTACATCTCATTCAGTACTATTTTCACTTTTGTATTTTGAACAGCAAACTAAATGCTAAATAACTTGTTCATGTTTTCTGGATGTTGGCACGCTGTACATGTAATTTTCGGACTACTGAAGCACAATTAAGAGTATGGGATTAATGTAAATCAGGGCAGTAGATAATGTACAGTCTCAAATAATATGGATACAGAGTTAAATACCATAAAACTGTAAGTTTCTACAGTTAATGAGCTGATTTTAGGTATCAAACAAGCCTGTGATGTAAAAGTTTAAATTTAATTGCACATGCTGAAAGATCATTGCCAATAAATGTTTCATCAAGTGGTTAGACAAATTTATTGAAGTTTTCCACCATATATAGTTCCTATAGTGAACTGTTTTACATCTGTTCAGTTTTGTAATTTCTATTATTAATTAAATAATTAAATCTTCTAAATAACCCATTCCAGATTTTTAGCATCATATAAACTTATTGCCAGGAAATATACAGTATACAAATCTTCTTAAATTGTTTCATCAATTTCATTTATTACTGTAACTCTTCGCTTATGAACTAATTGATCCTTTTTCTTAAAATGTGAACTAATTTACTGTATTTCCTAAAGTTCCTTGTAATAAAGCAAAGTCTGTCAATCAAAAATAATTATTTAATAGTCAGGAATAGTATGAATTGGACTATCATATAGCTTAACTATATTTAGGTAGATTAATACATATATACATTCATGAATCAGTATTCAAACTAATTAAACGGTTGTATTAGTTTAGCTAGATATAAAAGTTTTCATTCATTAAACTTTCCACTATATATGCATGACAACGGCAATAGTAAGAATATATATATATATATATAAGATGGATAAATGTAGAAGCAAGTAAAATAATTTAATCGTTGAATCCAAGAGTCAATTAAAGCTAGACCAAAATAGAAAACCTGGAAGCATTGGATGGCCGCTTCGTTCTAGGATGGAACTCCTCAGCAGTGCACATTCATGACCACACCTCGTGAGATTCCAACCCAGGATCTATCAGTTTCGCATACGACCGCCTAACCACAAATCCACTGAGCTGGTCGGCATCTAATGGTGTTAATGTTTAACTTCAACCAATCCGCGAAGTTGACCCACATTCCACCATTGTCTTTAGTGAGTTATTATCTCACGACAGATCTGGTTGAACTCCATTGATCACTAGAACTCCAGGAAAAACCTCTTGAATACCGACACTAGTGAGTATACGAAGATTATAATCAGAGATGTGTTTTGTTGATATTATAGTAAGTAAACAATTGAATTTATGAGTCAATTGAAGCTAGACGTCTATTGGAAACCTTGAAGCACTTGACAGCTGTTTCGTCCTAGTATGGTACTCTTCAGCAATGTGCCACCACAATACCGCACACGAGACTCGTGTATTCGTTGAAGTTAGACATTAACACTGTTGGATACTGGTTCATTGGTCTAGAGGTTAAGTGGTCGCGTGCGAGGCCAAAGATTCTGGGTTTGAGTCCCCATGTTGCGGGATCGTGGATGCGCACTGTTTAGGAGTTCAATACTAGGACGAGACGGACGTCCAGTGCTTCTAGGTTTACTATGAATATAAATCATAGGTATTCATATGAATAAAAACTTGTTAAGTTAATAAGCCAGTGTTCTATCAGAAAATTGATGGTAGAAACGAATTAATGTGGAGCAATGTGAACTATTATCTAGGCCACTAAAAATATTTCAAACATTAATAATCAATACAATAATCTCAAATGAATTAAAGTGTGGCCTACATGTTTTCAACTACTACCAAACCTCTTCACTTAATAATAATAATAACAGGTTGTAATACTTTGGTTAATTTTATACTTGAGTTGTTTCTTCGGAATTTTCAGAATGTTTTTTTTAGAAGTAAAACAGAAGATAACAGTAAAAAGAATTCAACGAATGATCATTCTAGACAATAATCATAAACCCAGAAAATGTAAAACTCATTAAATTATATCAGAAAATATGTTTTACTGTAAAATAAATTATAATAAACTGATCAGATACAAGAGTTCCTTGATGATTGTACATTTTTTCATTTACTAAGATTATTCATTATATTTTAAACAAACAAAATTTTAAATTTCACTCTATATCGTTTGCTTGTATCTGCCCATAGTTGTTAAGGAATGCAGTTGATCACTTTTCTTATTGGGATATATGCATACTGTGTGTATTGCCTCGATATCGCCTTAATTCACTAGCTTTATGCGAAAAGATGGATGGTGGTTAGCAGTGGAATCCAAGACGCTCGTTTTGTCCTATTCGGGACTCGTCAGCTGAAAGCAATACTCTTCTAGTATAAAGTCGTATAGTTAAGCTTAGAGTATGAATACATTTTAGGTAAAGGAAGTATATTTTCATTACAGCAACTTGGTCATTATGGAAGTATGGTAATACAAGTTAACCTACTGATTCTATTGTTGAAGTGAATCATGAAAACAATTTTCATCTAGTAAGTCAACTTATACAAAACAATGAATACACAAATAAAACAAAGATATCATAAATTGGTTTTTCTTCACATTGAATTATTAAAATATCACCCAACTTCTGAAATTTAGATTTAGAAGACTGTTGACTTGAAACAGTAAAAAGTAAAGAATACAAACAACTATGTCTATTCGTTAAGATGTCTGTTGAGATAGCTTCTAAAAATTATGACGGAGCCTTCAGAAGCCCTAAAAGAGCCGAAGAGTTTCCGTCTAATCAGAACGTGATAGAGCCTTCTAGAATATCAACATGGCATGCTACGATTAGACAGTAGCATAAATTGCCTTTTTGTGGATTAGCTGAATTTTAATGATGTTACAACAAACGCTAATATCTATAAATACGTATGATTTTCTGTACATTTACCCAATCAGCACTTCTGCAGCTTTCTTCTGTATTCTGATTTTGTGACTTTAGGGTTTTATAATTTGTATACCGTATTCTGTGTTAATCTTTCAGCAAATATAACAGTGTCGTGAATGAAATAATTACACAACTGAATTATCTCAACAAATAAGTACCGAAGTAATACATTTCTGAATAATTTATTCGATATCTTACTGTTTAATAACTTACTAAATGCATAATTTTAGACAAATTGTAAACAATAATTAGATAAAGTTGAAACATTATTATTATTTTTCATGGCTTTATATTTTTGGTGCAATATACAACTATCAGAACAAAGTATTTTAACAAGTTTCCTTTTCTTAACTCTTGATCAACCCTTGCAATAAATATTGAATGATCGACAATATGATGTTAGCAGTTCAGGCGTCAACATCTGAATAATGTTCATTCTTTTCAATGTATATTTTCAGCCATCACAAAGTCGCTGATTGTACCTTTTTTATAAGTTGTACAGCGAAAGTTCGTAAACTTTTCATAAACGCATCTGAATAGGTTATGCAATTAGTTGATATAATGATGTATTAAAACAAACAAAAGAAACAGATAGCCTGTTGAAATATCTAGATGACAGGGAAAGGTATCCCAAATATTTAAGCAGGCTTATTATATCATAACATATTAATATAAATAAATGAAAATAAATCATTTTATATTTTGAACTAATGTTCACGGTAAAAGAAAAACAACTTTTAAATTATACAGAATATAGTACAAATTCATCTCATCAACATTATTTATTTCATCTACTCAGTAGAGCATCTATTCAGCACACAAATATAAACAAATATAATTTCCTACTTTAGAAGGAAACACTGTCAACTAAGCTATAAGATATGAAAAAAAAAGACAAGTTTATTATTAACAATCTTATTTATGTTTATATTCATAAAGAGAATTTTCAAGTGTACCCACAGTATTATAATCACCTATGTATATTCAATACTGTGTCTATCACACTCTACAATAATCACTCAATCTCTCATAGAATATTATGTAATTCAAATGACAAAATAATTTATAGAATTAAAAACTATGTTTATTTTCTCTAGAAAAAAATCTCAACATTCTAATAAAGAAACAGAGTGTGAAGAAAAAAAAAGAGAAGTGAGAAAAGGGGACAGAACATTTCCATCCCCCCTCTGTTTATCACCATACATCTCAAATAGTTGTGAAAATAATATAAAAATAATCATATCTATAGTTAGACACTAGAGAAAAATAAAAGTGAATACATTTACTCAATAAAAAATTTACTTTTTATTCATTATTGTTGAATAAATAATTAAAAGTGATGTCATTATTTTAGTTTGTTCATATAATTTTGATTGAGATCATGAACTGATTGATGTCAGACCACCATTGAAAACCTGGAAGCACTGGACGGCCGTTTCGTTCTATCGTGGGACTCCTCAGCAATGCACATCCACGATCCCGCTAGCAGGATTCGAACCCAGGGCCTTCAGTTTCGCGCGCGAACACATAGCCTCAACCAATTTGCGAAACTGAGCGACCATCTTTCATTGTACTGAGGTAAACACCTGTTTCTACCCGACTCGATAGGACGAAACGGCCGTCCAGTGCTTTCAGGTTTTCAGTGGTGGTCTAACATCAATCGGTTCATGATCTCAATCAAAAACTTAACAATCTCCACAACCACTATACAGATTGTTCATATGTATTTGTATGTATTAATCAGTTACAATAACTAGCTATTAATATGTTCATTGTTAAATCATGCAATAATTATCTTGACAAGTGAAATTATCAATTTTCTTATTTGAATTTCAATATGAAGTTATAAAGAAATAAATGGTAGAATTTATTGAATGAATAAATTAAATGGATTATACATTAAGTTCACTTAGTTAATTATATAATTCAACGATCCAACTACTATACATTTCTGAGATTAAATCTTTGTAAAATTTCTCCTACCTGACTACTAGAAAACTTCA